CTCCACGATTGCTGCATGCTCGTGGGGTAGTGGTGGAATGTTTACCCCAAAGATCTGTTTTACTAGTTTCCTCCACTTTCCCTGCTACAGATAGCTCTGTGTTTCTCTACTTCCACCAAGTCACTCGTGGGACTGAATTAGGGAAATTTTCTTTTCTTCCATTCGTGTGTAGTTCGTTATAGAAAAAAAATAATCTGGTCATGTAATTGAGGAAAATGACGAAGGTCTATTAATGCAGAAGTATTTCTGCCTGTATAAGGACTGGAGGATTAAGTTTTAGCTTACGTGCACTCCCAAATTCTCTCTTCTCTGTTCTTCATATAATTATGACTTCAACCTTTCCTCCCTCAAATGAAGACATATCAAACTGCCACATGTCATCTTAGAACAGACTTTTACTATGCAGGATAGCTAACCTTTGTTCTCTATGACAACACTTTTAAGATTTTTTCAACTAGTAACTTCTTGAACTTCTTGTTCATGACACAGGATGCTGAAGCTGCCTCCTTTCAAGCTCATCTCTTCTGCATTGGAATCTGTGCAGTTCTTGCTTTGGAGACAAATAGCAAGAAGGTGACCCTGATGCTACGAAAACACAAATGAAATCTTCCATTGATTTCAAGAGCCAGAGCTACCTTTATGTTCTCTTCAATGTTTCTGGATATTGATTTTTTTTTGGCAGAAGTATTAAAAGTAAATACCATGGCACTGGAAAGATCTCTTCTACTGGACAGGTCTCTTAAAATTCCTTCTTAAAATTCTTTTGGTTTCAGACTGAGGACCCCAAGATAGAGTTGAACAAAATTTGTAGAAACTTCTGAAAACATCAGTGTTAGTCTTTCTCTACTGTAAAGCGTCTGTAATTCTCATTTGAATATTTTTGTGTATTATTTGTTGTGTGCATCATAATATCTATTTTGCCTTACAAATAAGAAATAGAGAACATATTTGTGTCTTAATTTTGCTAGCAATCCTCTCTTTTTAACATATCTAAGTACAAGACTAATAATTATAATTTTAAAAAACCGCATTCTTCACAGCTTAGGGGCTTAAACCTTTATATTCTTCCTTTATTCTGAATGTACCCCTCAGGAAACAACTCTGTAATAATCACCTTGCCTACACTTCTTCAGTCACACATTACATTCTCTCTCCCACTTTCTTTCAGGTTAATATTAGTGTTTGTCAGCAGCAGACTTTTTTTCCAAGGCTCTGAGTCATTACAGTAACAGTTATGTTCTCAATAGAGTTCAGGGTAGGAAAAAACCCCAGCCCTATGCCTACATGTATCTGACTGTTAGAGAACCAGAAGGCTACTCACTCCTTCTAAATGCCAAGTGCTCAATTACTTTCCTCTTGAGATTTTTTTTTTCCAGTTAGTTTTCTTTTTTTAATTTGGGAAAAAGTCAAATGTGATGCAGTAGGTTACTAAAGCTCATGATGAGGAATTTTGGCTTCATATTTTTCCACAGTGTAACAGGTTTTTTCCAAGTATTCCTTTAGCAGAGGTTGGTTGGTATTCCAGTCTAGCTCACAAAGAGTTCAATCTCTGTCTAGTCCTATATAGATATCTGTCTGTGTTATAAAACCACTGCACCCATTATCCCAAAGAGGGATTTGTGCTGATAAGAGGTCCAGTCAATAGAAGAGGTTCTGCAAGTTTGGCTTCAGGCCTTGACAGAACACAGGAAAGCATTCAGAGAGCTAGACAGTACAGTTTCTGGTTCTGGCTACTGCCACCCTTCCCTTCCTGCCCCCTGAGGTGCTCTGCCATTCTTTGGAAACCAAGTCAGAGCACACATTGCAATGCACTGTGCATTAGCACAGGAGCACGGTGAGCCTCAAGCGTATGTGAAGCCAGACCTGGGGATCATACTTAACTCACACTTAACTCACTTAACTCACTTAACTAACTCATACTTAACTCACTTTCACCTGCACATTTTTCTAGATGTGTAGGCTTTTCAACTGAACTGGAGGTAATCTATTTCCCTTTCTGTGGGTCAAGTTTTCTGGACTGTGGGTCAAATCTGAGCCCACACTACCATCCTGAAGACTTTCCAATCAGGCAGGCAAGGATTTCCCCTCATGGTGATGAATGCCACAGAAGCATACAAATATATAGGCACTGTTACCTTTCTTGTTGCTAAGTACTCCCTTGTCAGAGAGAGCTCTTAGCAGCTGTCAGAACTGCTGCACTGTAATTTAAAGTGAACTGTAAATCCCTGAGATGGATGAAGGTATCAAGATGGATGATCTTGCAATGGTCAGTAGAGAGGTTGCTGGTGATTTCAGTGACTACATTTGCCAGTCACGATGCAAGATGACAATGCAGATTGAAAGGGTGATAGCAAAGGGAATCAGAAGGATACATCAAAGGCTAATGGACAGGTGCTATAAAATGTTGCCCAGCACGCAAGCTTGTATTTTTTTCAGTCTCCTCCTGAGCGGGAGATTCAGTGTCCTTAGGAAAAACAAAAAGTATTCCACATTGCATGTTAACAAGCAGGTACAATCCTTGGAGCAAGTGAGGGTCCTGTCTTCCATTTTTCCTTCTGCATCTCTGTGTTGCCAGCCTTTCTTCTTTTTTTCTGGTTTTCTGCTGAAAAAAATCAGCTGGGCTAAACAAGCAACTGGCTCCTGGTCCATAAGATAATGGATCCAATAATTATCAGAAGCCAGCTTGGAGGGACCTATTGTTCAGTAGTCAACACGGCAAATACAAGCTCTAAAAAATGCAAAGAGCAAGGTGCTAACAACGCTCCAAAATGCAAAGAAAGGAGTTTGCAGCGTTCTTGCTGTCTGATTTTCCTTTAAGTTGTGTTTAGGAATAAAAATGTTTGTCATATCTCTGAAAACAGGAACACAATTTGCATAAACCAGATCCACCACTAAGGTGGCACAGTGAGACACCTACTCAATCCAACCATACTTACTGTAATGCCAGTGCAGGAACAGCCATACCAGACTGTACCTGGAGTTCATATGGCTCACCCTTATCTTTGATACTGCCTGGGTGCTTTGAAGAAGAATATAAAAACTCTTCAGAGTGGGAAGCCATGAAGTAATGTGCTCACAGGCATTCTTACTTTCTAATCTTCTCCAAGAAAACTGTACTCAGATGGTTAATTTATCTTCTTGGGTTTCCTCTTAAAAGAAAAAAAAAATCCTATGATATTTGATACGGAGTTTTCTGATATTGAACAGAAAATCTTATCTTTCAGAACCCATGGTTGTGAACACCAGTAACATTCGGTGGCAGTGGATTTCAGAGGGCATTTATATCTGATTTTTTGAGCAGAATATTTGCAAAAATGGGAAGACTAAGTCTGATTGCTTCCTGATACTTGTTTTGCCAGAACTTCTGATTTTAAACTTATCAAAGGATCACTTTATCACTGTCTTCTTTAATTTCTGATTCACTTCCAAAATCAGGCTTTGGGGGACTACTCTAAGAACTTCTGGAAAAAGCAGGGTCCTGATCCTCTTGTGAGGGATGTCCATCTACCTTAATAGCATGGCCCTTGTTAGCCATTCAATTCAGTTCATTCCAAACAATGTGCAGCTCCAGTAATGCTAAACTAGATGCACTGGAAGCCACCAAGAGATAGTTGTACTAATTTCAGTTTATTAGCCATCCAAGCTCCCTTTTAAATTCAGGAAAGGCAAATTATAATTGAAAAGATCTTGGTAGAAACATATTCTGCTTTCACGGTCTGTGGATATGCATGTTTAAGCTATCATGCCATGACATTGTGCTATTTGATTTATTTTTTTTACTGATGCTTTGACTGAGTAGTTTGTTGCGATGTACTGCTAAATGAAGGAAAAATCAGAAACTGCATCAGACAACCACTCTGTATTTCATTTTAGAAAATAGCTGGCAATTATAATTACTCACCATGTTTCTGGCTCAGAATAAAAGTGCCATAGCACAAAAACCACACTGAACATGCATCGTGATTAGAAAATGCTCCATATCTTGGAGTGCAGTGGAGACATAAGAATAATTTTAAATGCAAATTAAATTGTGGGGGTAGCAAAGAGAACAGATAAAAGACAGTAAAACAAAGCCTTTCACTTTCCTCAAATTAGCAGGCTAATGTGGTATAAAAAAAAGCAGTTCTACTCAGATCTGTGCTAAGAGCTTTCATTTCATCATAATATAAGCAGATCCGTCACCTTTCTCTATTCAGTACTCTTGATTTCGAGGTTGAAGTGAAAATTAGAAGCTGTTCATTCTGGCTCACAGACTGGGTTGCATTTGCTTAGTCTTATTCCATGACAGTGGGATGGAAAGAGGTCAGTAACACTGGTAAGTACTTATCTTCTGCATATGATTTTATTTATTTATTTTTTAAAACCTTTCACAGTGCTTTGGCTTTTTATCAATGTGCCTTTCCTGAAAAAAACTACATTGTGTATTTTTTAAAAGGCTGTATTTTAAGCAGAAATGCAATGATTCCTTGAGAATGCTTATATCGAATGTTAGGGCTCCTTCAAGAATGAATGAATTACTTAAAGTATGAATTCTGTAATAGGAAAGGTTTCTCGATATTCTATATATTTCATAGCATCACTGGAACATTTTGTATGTTGCTTTTTCTGTCTGCCTTGTCCAACAAGCAGTAGCAGATAAGAAATGAATCTATTCTCAAGATGTTATTTACATTATATTTATAGCAAAACAATCTCCTTACCCTTGTGGTAAATGGTGAAGAAAGTAGGTATTTTACTTACTGAAAGCAAATTATTAGACAAAACGCAATGTTACGGTTAATCATTATGAAACATTAAAAATATCTCAGAATATCAGATGCAACAAGGAAGATCAGAATGAAAAACAAATTCTTAAGGAAACTTGATGTAGATTTTTTTTTCCGTGGGAAAGTTTTTATCAAATCAAAACGAGGGGCTTAATTTTTCAGTATGAAGGGTGAGGGGGAGTGGGGGAGATGAACGTAGTGTCACCTCCTGTTGCTAAGTAACAACATCTCCTGGCCATTTTTATCTGATAAAGGAAGTCCAGTTGACGTTATGCATTATTCATCAGAGTTCCAATCAAACAATCAAAATTGTTTGCTTACACTGGGGACATTTAGTAAGATCAAAGAAATCCTCCTTGAAACTACTGGAGCTTACACCACTGCCAGGCAGCTCTTGATACTCTGCAGTAAGTATCATTTCTGGTTTGGGAGTGCTACAGTAAAGTGAATTGCTTGGGAATTTAAAAGTTTTCTCATCAGGACAGACTTCCGAATTTTAGAAAGGACTGCATGTTGATCTATGAAAACTGAATCAAAGGAAAGAGGGAAAGCTTTGGAAACCCGGTTCCCTAATTTTTCCAGCGTAATTAAAGGAATTGCTTGAATCAAGAGTCAGACTCCCTGCTCCAAACCTTTCTGCTAAGTTTGCATGGAAAAGGACTAGAGGTATTTTTGTCTGTCTTTCTTAAAATAGACATTGTTCAGAGTTGTTTGTATGCTTATGATTATATGCCATGGTGAACTGAGATGTGGGTGAGAGAACTGGATTGTCTGTTTTCTGCAAATCCTGTTTTTTCTGTGACTTTTTCAGAGTATAATAAAATGCAGAAGGTAGCTATAAAGCTGGAGAAGGGTCACAATAATGTGCATCATTCCAGGAACTCTGCCTGGCAAAGTTAGAGTGTACATCTTGGACAGCTGTAATCTAGGATTGTGTACATCTCGGACAGCTGTAATCTAGGATCTAGACAGATCTGATGTTCAGAAGAATGCAAAAAATATAAACCTTAGCTATGAAACAGTGCTACGAGTAGCCTACTATTTCTTAATGACTGCTCCTAACACAACTTTTAGAACTGATGGTGGAATGTTCTGTTGCTGCTTCTGGTCAGCAAGAGGAGAGAGGAAAGGCAAGGTTGGTTTCTGGTCATTTAGGTGTAGTGAAATATCCAGAATATTGTGTCTTTCTTTCTAGTGCAGTGTTTTGGCATAAGTGGCACAAATGCTATCTTTAATGTAGTCTGTTATAGCAGTGACTACTCAGAGATGTTGGGTGCGAATCTGGCTGAAAGAGGTCCCTGTCCCTTTTCCGATCTTCTTTTTAAGAGTAAATGTAACAGGCAGATGAATCCAAGTATATGTCTTAAGAAATAGAGGCTGTGGCTAGAATACAGGTGACTGTACTAGAAAGCTAGGAATCTTACTAATACTGCAGCAGGACTTCTGTTTTTGTCTTTAGAGAAGGATTTGAATCAAACATCCTAAAATAGAAAAGGATGCTTATGAAGTTCTATGAATAGTGACTTGAAAATACTTTGACCCTAATATGCCAAATGACTGCCTACACAATTCTTTCCACAAAGAAACTCACCAGCTTTTTTGTGTCTGACATCTCTGTAATCTTTCCTAGGAATCTGACTGATCATCCATGCTGGAGTATTGCACATAAAGTTCCTTCAAAATGGACTACTTTTTGGATGTCGAGTCTGCTCACAGACTGTTTTACAGTCAAGGAGCCCAAGGTAAGAAACTCTGGCACTGATTCAGAAAATGGCTATTTTAACTGTACAGTTAAAATGTATAGGGCCAGATAAGGGACAGTCACTGACCTACTTAAGTGCTGAGAGGGCACAGGGAAAGGCCTTCAAAACAGTTGGGGTTTTAAAGGTGTTACAAGAAGAGTAATGGTAGGGTTGATCTGCCTTATGAGAGGATAAGGAAAAGCTATGAGAGCTGCTGGGCGTACAGACAGAGCAAAAAGAACTGTGAAGACCCAGGCTCTGGTGTTGCAGCATCCAAATGGACAAGGCAGAGGGGAGAGCAATGGCACACAGCTTGCTGCATAAGCCTCTGGTGTCCTTCCCCTTCCTCCTTGCTTATCAGTGCTGTCAGGATCATAAGGCGCTGTTTTTCAGTGCTGCAGGAAAAACTGGTTTGGGAAAGCCCTGAGGCAGTCTCCCACACAGTGCAAACAGCAGGCTCTCACTGGTCTGCACCTGTCCCCTGCAAAATGCTGGCCCCCACAGAGCAGCAGCAGGGTGAGAGAGGGGAAGAGTAACCAAACTTTGTTGCTTTAATGTAGCTGAGACTTGTTCACGACATAGATGATATTTTTGGTAAAGTCAGCTCACATTTTTCTCACCAGCGCTATTTTTGGAGAAAACTTGCAATTTCAGAGAGAAGGGGTTTTTTGTTCCTTAAACTTTAAACACCATATTAAATTGAAGAAGCCTATTGGACCCAAGTAGTTCTAACAACCATTTTTGGTTTTACATACTGCCTGTTCTCTGAAAATGGAATCCATCTTTCTTTCACCATTAATTTCATCAGTTGCTAATCAAATTCAAAGTCTGGCCAACAAAGTTTAGCCTTCCCTCTGGAGGCCATCCTCCCAGAGCAAGACCTAATCCATTCAGGGGGATGCCACCAACCCAGGATACATGAGGGTCAGTACCACCTTTAACCTTCGGCTCAGCTGAGATGCTGCTGCCTAACACGTACTGCATTGCCTAGCTGCTTCCCCGGTTGTTGTGACATGTTTTAATCTGTATGAGTTGCAGAAAACCTTTTTTGTCACAGCACAGCCTCCTGCACTGAACAACAGAAACAAATACTAAGCACTTCAAATCAGGAGAAAAAATTGGCTGAGGGAAATGGCTCATTTTGATGGCTTTTTCTCCATCTAAAATGCAACAGACACCTGGGCATTGCTACAGAAGTAATATTGAAATCTTCAATGACCTCCTGTTGTCCCTTCCAACCCCAACCATTCTATGATATTTCTATGGGAACAAACCACTTCTATTCCACAGAACCTAAAATTCAGGAATCTACAACTTACTGCTTTACAAGCTATAGCAAATTATCAAAAGTGTCCCTGTGCACTGCAATGTACAGAGACAACTGTGGAAGAAGGAATATGTATTCATGCAATGAAAGTCTATTATAGTCATGTGCACAAGGTGACTAGTAAGGATTGTGCAGGCAACCTTCACTGACTATACTTCCAAGCAGGCAAGGGAAAAAAACATTATCTTACCCATACTTGAAGAAATTATATTGCTGGCACATACAGAAATGCTTGTACTGATCAGTTAGGTGCATGACTATAATGTAAGATTAGCATCTGGTTGATTCTTCATTTTAATGCAATTATTTTCCTTTTATTAAATGCAAAATGAGGGGAAAAAATCCATTATGCAGAACTGTATTCCTTGATGCAAAAGTCATCAGCAGAGAGCTGACCTGTAGATCTGTCACGTGGACTTCTATTCCTTGGCCAAAACAAACAAGAACCAGCACCGAAACTTGGAGATTTTTTTTGTCCCCCTGCTCCTGAATATTTTATGAAAGTCACCAACGACACACTTCCACCATGCACCAGTGTCCCAAATCCTAATTATCTCCACAACTGGAAACAGTATATTGATAGAAAAGCCATGCTGCACTTATGCTCTGCCCCCTTCCATTTTTCACCCTTCTCTTTCCTCCTTTTACTGCATTTTCCTCAGCTCCTGTCCTTCACATCTCTTACCACACATGCTTGTGAGACCCCTTCCATAAACTCTAGTAATGTCTCCTCTCTTCATCTCTCTGTGCTTGAGGTCAGTTGCTTTCCAACAACTTAGGTGCCAGAAGGGAAATCGCTCTGAGCACAGAAGTGACAATGTTTCTGATCTACATTCTCAAATGCTGCAAGACAGCAGCCCTCTGGCAGGAGAGGTGTTTGAGGGGAAGAACGGATGAACAACCACTCTAGCAATAGGATGTGAGAGATGACATGTGGCCTGTGCAGAGAGAAGTTTCAGGAGGCCAAACAATAAGTCTCTGGAAGAATTTAATCATCAAGGTTTCCTGCAGCAAATACCTTTATTGCTATCCTTAGCCCCAAACTTCTTGATAGTAATATCCCCTTCCTCTCAATTATTTTACCCCCTGTACAGAACAAGGAACTCAATCCTATCATGTGCATTGATGCTGCCTCTACAGCTGTGGTAACTCCTGTCATCCTTGTACCTTATGTGAAATTTTAAGGCTGTCTTCCAAAAAGCAGGCATTTCTCCATGAGATAATTGCACAATTTCTCCGAACATGGATTTCTTTATCCACCTTCTGAGAAACAGGCTAACTGCATTAGCTTTAACTTTCTGACACTCCCCGCCCCCCAACAAAAAAAAATACACTGAATGTGAGGCACTCATCCACCATAAATAGCGTAGCTCAAGTAGCTAGTATGGAGCTGCATAAAAGGTCTGTAAGAAAGCGTTGTCATCAGATCTACCTAATGGGATCACAAGTAACTATTTGATGTTAATATAATAATATGATGCCATTAGCAAATCACATTATCAAACACCATGTGTATATGCATTTAAACTGCATTACGACAGAATTGAGTGCAAGAAGACTTCAGTATTCTGCCATTTAATTAAAAACAACATCAGAACATATTCGTATGTACTATTATTACTTTACTTATATTATTAGTTATTGCATTCCAAAGTGCTCTGTTTACAAACTGTAGAATGGTGGTTCATGACCTACTTAACTCTTTCTGTGAGATTTGGAGATTTCTGCCTTTTAATTTTTCAGATGAAGAAAAAAACTCCAGTGTTTTCACATTAATGATATGACAATGTAACCAATAGCAGCTGTAAAGCACTCATTCGTATCTGTACCCGCTCCTTGTGGATGGAAAAGAAAAGAAGGAATAGGACTGCAAAACGTTGGGAAGGAACTCAAAGAGCTATGATGGCATTGACAGCCGATGATATCAAATCCCACCTGACCTCAGGTCTTGTGTAGTTGAATGCAGGATACTCTGACCTCAGCAAACAGACTAAAAGAGGGCTTTGTCCTCCAGCAACTAACCAACCCGTTCTCTATCCCTTGCTGCCTGCACTAACGCTCACACCTTGTCCCTACTCCTGCAGAAAGCTGCAGAACTGCCTTTGGTTTTGTAGGGTAGGAGGAAAGAGGTGTTACCTTATCAGCTGCCACCTCTTCCATCCTTTCCTCTGAAGCAGCAGCCATCACCTCACTTCGATGGGCTGAGCACAGAACAGAGAATGTTTGGCCGTTCAGGCTGTATCTGCTCTTCCAACAGCTGTTCCCTGTTTCCTCCAAGGAAAGTGAAGCCAGAGGGATGGAAAAGTCACAAAAGCTGAATCTGACAGTAGGATTAGCTAGATTTAGAAAACTTGGTAAACGAAGCCAGCTGGCTCTAGGCTTTAAATACAAGCCAGAAATATCCTAAGCTCTGCAGCCCTCCCTAACTGTCTCTTCTGTAGCCGTATGTTGGAATCTAGGAGCTGGTGGGGTGTCCCTGCCAAGTGCGTAATGCCTGGTGACGCATCTGCAAATCAGAAACAGGAAAGAAAGGACTGTGATCCCCTGCATCCAGCCCCTTGCCCTAGGAAAGCCTCAATCTGAAATCTAAGCCTGAAGCCAGACTTTAATTTTCAAAAAAGCCTCCTCCCTTTGAAGCGTGTGGAAGATACTGGTTACTCTTGGCTGCAGATGTATTATAAATACAAATCTATCACAGCTTTCAGCTGCAGGGGCTGAAAGTATATAATGGGGCCTGGAATAGGATTTTCAGCTCACTTATCCTGTAGACATCCTCAGTGAAGACATTTCCACCTAAGAGTTCTGACTAGCTTGGCATGTACCAGTGGAGAGAAACAATCATTTTAAGAGCAGGGTTCACTTCAGACATCTTCCTTGGGTTAATATAAATCTTGCCTCTCTACTGATTATGAAAGCCTAGATAGCAAACTTGAGTGAATGATGCCTGTGCTGATGGCATTTGTTTGCATTGAGGAATCACATGTTGACTGGCAAGATAGGACCTAATTCAGAAAAGGGAGTAACTTTCTCCAAACAGGTCAAGCTGTAATCCAAAACTGTAAACGTGCAGATCACTTGGCTGCAGTGTACTTTGGGGAAGCATCAGCTTTGATCTTGAAGTTCTACTTGAAAGTTATGCTTTGGGGCATGGAAAGAAAGACCTCATATTTGAAAGAGTTGAGCAGGCAGGCACTGAGGAGCAGCAGAAGTGAGCTGGTCCATGAGGGAAAGTAAGCCCAAAGCCAGCAAAATGGGCAGAGGCAGCAGCTGTCACCTATGAGAGGTAAAGCACCGCAGGGCATGAGCCGGGCAGGTTTGGTGACAGTCACCAGGTTCAGCCAAGAGTTCAGATTATCAGACAAGTCCGTGGTGATGAGGCAGTCTGGATGTGGATCAGTGAGGAACCTAGCCAGCCACAGGCACGCTTGCTTAGCAAATGGGCAATGGCCTCAGTGTAGGCGTATCTCCAAAAGCGGGGAGGAAGCAGCTGCTGAGGATTCTTGCTGCTTTCTCAAAAACCTTCAAAGCTGGTCAGGGCTTCTCAAGTCGCTCACACAGCTATACCATGCCAGAGAGCCTGCCTTGAGCATAGCCAGCTAAACTGTGTGCAGGGATTGCACGCAGCACTCTAGCTGTTGGTACCTAGTTCTCACCTCGGTTTTTGAGGATTAAG